CACTTGTCTTGTGTCATTCTGTCCTATTCTGTTTTTTTATTTGGCTTGGTCACACAACATGTCACATAAGGGAATTCATGAGTGCAGGAGCTTGAATGTATTGCTGCATTGTGTCCTGTCTTAATGAGTTTGTGTTTTGATGCGTGCAGTTCAACGAAAAACTGCAAACGTCAATTATGGTTATTTATTGGTGCTTCCTAAGGCTTATGAATTTGAACAACCCCCTAATACTAACCACTAAACTTTAGCACAATCTATTTGTGGAAAATGCTGACATTAATGAAGGTAATAAAACAATCTAGAGACCAGAATATAATTGAGATTTGAGGGTGGGCTGCTTTGAATTAGGCCATTAAGTAACCACCTAGCAAGAAGCCAATCATGCTAAATCCCCTCAAACTCAAGAACAGTATGTAAATGTGCTAATCATGCTAAAAACCCAGAACACACTAACAACAGTGTAGCAATGTGTTAATCATGCTAAAAACCCGTCACAGCCCGCCTGAATGGGAGTGGCCAACATAAATAAAGAGGGGAACAGGCTGAGCTTTTCAGCGAAACTCTTCGCATCGCTGGATTTTGAGAAGCTGCCGCCGTCGAAGCAAGCGACCAAGCAAACTTAGGAAACGTCTGGAGAAGCCGGCTGTACACAATGTCCCAGTGGCTTTGGACAGGGAACGTATTGTGCGAGGAACGGGGCGTGAGAGCGTCGCCAGGGGTGAAATGATTTTTAGTAAGTGTGAGTCGCAGTGACAACGGCGGTTGTACCACCGGCTCGTTGGCTGCGAAAAACAAATCTGCATTAGCCATGACTACGGGGACTGGCAGAGTGGAAAGCTTTGACGGTGGTCCGGCCACGGTGGGGCTTAACCGTCTCTTCCTCCTTTGAGCTGCTTGGAGGACTTTGTGGGCTCAGGTTTCAACGCAATTTTAGGCCAGGGTCCCCGCGAGGGAGGCGGCCTGTGCACTATCTAGGGCGGCCGACCTGTTGGAGGCTAAACTGGGCGCTGGGTGGAGCTTCGTGCAGGCTGGTCCCGAGGACGGCGTGGAGCTGAGCTCGATTGACGAGGCAGGAAAAGATTCATAGCCTGCATGGCCTTTTGTACCTCCGAGAAGGGGTTCACGATCCGGCTAACCACTAGGCCGAAGAGGCCGGTAGGGGAGAGCGGGGCATTGAGGAAAACAGCCCGCTTGGACTCACTCATGTCGGCGAGAGTCAGTCTGAGGTGCCTCTCTGTGACAGTCAGAGAGGACATGCACCTTCCAAGGGTCTGGGCAGCGGATTTAGTTACGCGAAGGGAGAGATCCATCGCGCTGCGTAAATCCATGAATCGAGCTCTTCTCATCCAGTTCACGGAGGAGTTTGGCTTGGAGGATCTGTAGGACTGCCATGGAGTGCAAGGCTGAGGCAGCTGCGAAACCATGGCCGACAAGGGCTGATGTAGTCCTGCAGACTTTAGACGGGAGGGCAGCCTTTGAATGCCATCCAGAGGGCGGGCAAAGGTCTGCTGCAACCGTTTCTTCCACAGGAGGATGGAATTACCCCTTATCGGCAAAGCCGTCAACCTGTGAGAGCGTTGCGGAGACATGAGAGTACATTCTCATGGAGAATGGAGCATTACGCAATTTAGACAGTTCAGCGTGGAGCTCTGGCAGGAAGGGTGCAATCCTGGATGCGGGTTTTTGGCGCGAATATGGCAGGCCTCCTGGACAGACGAGTGGTGTGAACCGGGTGGACATTGAAAGATGTTCGCATTCAGGGCGGCCGCCCGAAGAGAGTGCAATGGTTGCATGCTCACGGCCCAGACAGGGGCCCAGCGCAAATGAGAGGGGTGTCTCCGGTGCTGAGCGGTAAAAATTTTGACAAAAACGCCTCGCGCTCTTTTAGATATATTGGTGTGTGTCGCAGCAGTGAACACACACAGCAGAGAGAAGAAAAAAAGGATACAGCTTCTCAAAATCCAGCAATGTGAAGAGTTTCACTGAAAAGATGAAAATCAGAGCTCAGCCTGTTCAGCCCCACTTTATATACGCTAGCTACTCCCATTCTGGTGGGCTGTGATGTGTAGAGGGCACGAGATCAAGCAGGGCTCACGATAGGCTGCTGCATTTGTCATAGGACAGCCAATGAGCACGCTTATATAACCTGCTAGGGTCTGCTGTCCACCGCACTGCGTTGACAATAAATATAAAATTAAGGATAATTTTTTGGCTTCAGATCTCGAGAAAAGATGACTTAACCCGTAGCGTAAGCAACTTACGAACCTTTCGTAACAGAACTCAGAACACACTAACAGTATACAAAAGCTAAACAGGATAAAAATGATTTTGAACAACTTAACAGCTGTTAATAATGCTATTTTTGTGAACCCTTGGAGAGCAACTGAGCCAATAAGCTAAACATGCTAAATTCCCCAGAACACCCTTACAGCCATGTAACAACATGTTAAACTTGCTAAATCCCCTTTAAAATACATAACATGCTAAACATGCTAAAGCCCCACCGAACACCCTTACAACCATATAAAACATGTTAAACTTGCTAAATCCCCTATAAAATACATAACATGCTAAACATGCTAAAGCCCCACCGAACACCCTAACCATATAACAACATGGTAAACTTGCTAAATCCCCTATAAAATACATAACATGCTAAACACGCTAAAGCCCCACCGAACACCCTAACCATATACCAACATGGTAAACTTGCTAAATCCCCTATAAAACACATAGCATGCTAAACATGCTAAAGCCCCACCGAACACCCTTACAACCATATAAAACATGTTAAACTTGCTAAATCCCCTATAAAATACATAACATGCTAAACATGCTAAAGCCCCACCGAACACCCTTACAACCATATAACAACATGTTAAACTTGCTAAAGCCCCTATAAAACACATAGCATGCTAAACATGCTAAAGCCCCACCGAACACCCTAACCATATAACAACATGTTAAACTTTCTAAATCCCCTATAAAATACATAACATGCTAAACATGCTAAAGCCCCACCGAACACCCTTACAACCATATAACAACATGTTAAACTTGCTAAAGCCCCTATAAAATACATAACATGCTAAACATGCTGAAGCCGCACCGAACACCCTTACAACATGTTAAACTTTCTAAATCCCCTATAAAATACATAACATGCTAAACATGCTAAAGCCCCACCGAACACCCTTACAACCATATAACAACATGTTAAACTTGCTAAAGCCCCAATAAAACACATAGCATGCTAAACATGCTAAAGCCCCCAACGAACACCCTTACAACCATATAACAACATGTTAAACTTGCTAAAGCCCCTATCCACAAGTTTCCTACGCCCCATGAGGCCTTGCGTCAAAAGTGGGCGCGACTTCCGGTTGGAAGTAAACAAAGCACGATTTGACATGCTTGACACTCGTTCATTCAACAGTTGACAGTCATTCAAGTTATAGCGATCCAAACTAGCTAACGATGTGGGAACACAACCTCAACGAAATTCAAAAGGGTGAAATAACAGTACCTTTACCCTCCACAGTAGTTGATTGGGAGTATTATAATAACATTATTAATAATCAATACTCATCAAGTCATGGTGACAGACAGTTGTGCGAGCTGACAAACAATTAAAATAAAAAATACACACTTAGTCATTGTGGTTTGGAGTTTATTCAAAATTATAAATGAATGTGCTACTTGAATACATTAACTGGCAAATTTGGTATTCTGTCAACACAGGCTTTGATCCTGAGTTTAGGTGCAACATCAGTAGAGAACAGCCAAACACATGCTGATAAAAGTTTATAGAATATTAAGAATTTAAACAAATGTACACAGGAAGATTCGTCGTCTTTTGGGAGGTGATGGAAACTACAGTCGTTGGCAGGAACACTCTGATTTCGTTTTCAGCTTATGTTAAAAACAATCACGTTTAAGCCACTGAACTAGTTTAGTCCGGTTATACATACAACCGCGAACAGCACATGTTGTCCATGAGCTCCGTAACGACATCTCTCATAAAGATTTGCGTCTTTAAATAGTAAAATAATTCTCCGAAAAACAGCTAGCCTCTTCGCTAACTAACACACAAAATACCATTGGAATGCTACTTCCGCCGCCTCACCGGAAGTTTCACCCACTTTATTTTTTACAGGAGCGCCCCTCGGAAACTTGTGGATAAAACACATAGCATGCTAAACATGCTAAAGCCCCAACGAACATTACAACTACATAAAAACATGCTAAACAAGCTTTTGGGATGCAGAATATTTAAACACCGTATGAATACACCAGTTTTGATGTTAGCTTTGTGTTTTGCGTTAAGAATGACCGGAATGAAACGCATCTGTAAAAATCTGATTGGAATTGCATTTCTAACCACCTTCATATGTGGTTTGAATCAGATTTGATTTTTTTATTTATTTATTTTTTTTTTTCAATTTTGCTGTCCAGACTTTCAAAAAAACATTTTAAACGTTCTTGAAAAAATGTGTCTTTAATTGAAGGAAAGTCACAAGCAAAAGTGTTTTGAGCTAATAATGATGGCAACAGGTGTTACCTTATTTTGGCTGAATACATTAATAGTGTTTGTCCTGCTGGCGTTAAAAGATGAACTGAATTGTGCCTAGCCGTAAGGAAGCTCCAGAGACGCTTAGTGCTAATGAGCCCAGTGCATGAGAGAAAAAAAAACCTAATTCATGTAGAAACCTTGAAGAAATTAAAACTATGCTGCTCATGAATATTTGATCTACTCATTCAGTGCATTCAGGCGTTAGCCTTGACACAAAACGATCCAAAATAAGTTTGTCACACAAAGGCTTTCTATTAAAAATCACAAATGAATTTTCTGTGATTATTACCGTCAAGAGATGGCAAATCCTAATTAGCATGTCCCTGGATGCTGAGTCAAAAAGACACAAAGGCGACACTACGTTTATTGTGAACTGTTTCGTCTAAGGTCTTTAGTTTTTATTGATTGTGTGTCTCTCACCCTACAGATGATGGGCCGTACTCTAAGGGGAACAAGGACTCGATGGGGCCAGACAACTCGCTCACATCCAGAAGACAAAGCATCCCAGGTACGCCTGACTCCCTGTCTATTCCTTCTTGTTTTGCCCACACAAATACTCCCACCATAGGCTCCGCTCCTTCAGCATCTTTTGATCTTGGGGATTGTGTCTGTCTTTTTCCATTTTGGATGTTTGAGTTCTTCTTGCCACATTGGTTTCGATGGCGGTTTGAGATGCAGAAGACTGGGGGTTCGAGGGCTTTGTTACAGCTTTATCCAGATGTTTCCTGCGGTTCTCGAGAAGTGTCTGTCTGAGTCATTCTGCTACTGTAGCTGGAAGCGTTTGTTCATCCAAGACCTTTTTCTTCTTTAAGGCTAATTGGATTAGCTGACTCAACTCAAAGTGTTACTTTGGAAAAGTTTCAAAGGCCACACATTTATTTTACATGTTGTAATAGACTTGCGCATTTTGTGTGTATAATCATTTTTTAATGAAACCTACTGTACATTTAAGGGGCCCAAAGCAGTTGTAACTGTTATTTCATGCAAAACTAATAGAGAAAAATCCTGCAGTTGGATTTTTTATTGTTATTCTTCTACTCACCAATGCTGCATTTGTTTGATAATAAATACAGTAATTGCAGTAACATTGTGGAATTTAAATAACTGTATTTTATTGTAAATGTTATTCAGTGTCACATGATCCTTCAGAAATCATTCTAATATGATTATTTGATGATCAAGAAATATTTCTGATTATTAGCAATGTTGAAAACAGTTGTGCTGTTTGATAAATATGTGGAAACGGTGAAAAATATTTTGTTTTATAACAACAGCCTTTACTTAAAATTATACATTTCTCACTTTTGATCAATTTATTGTTTATCCTTGTTCAATTAAAGTGTTAATTTTGTTTAAAAAATTATAATCCAAAAATTGTATAACGTAATAAAATGTATACAGAGGTTTCATAAAAAAAAATGTTTACCAAAATGTCAGATTTAGGCTATATCAAGACTCATATGATAGGAATCATTATCATAGTTTCAAAAGATGGAGCTGTGTGCAATCATCCATTACATTTTTACTTGTGGAAAACTTTCTCGTTTCAATCTGTTCACATTTAAACCCACACAGACACTGATTAGATTAGGCTCTGTGAGAGATTTCATAACACGGTTGGATTCAAAAGTGTAGCATTACAATTTCTGCTGCAATACTGGTGTTTGATAGATGATTTCTTTCATGTGTCTCTTGGTTTGGATTGTCTGTTTAAGAATTCATAAAGTCACAGCATGAGCTAAAGATTAGTGCAAGTTAGTTGTGGTGGAACATTTTAAAACAATCTAGGGCATTTTGTAATATTGAGAATTCATAAAATTTCTCATCGTTAGTTAGATGGGAGAAACACAGCTCATTTGCATATCCGAGAGATTTAGTGTCATAAAACCATGTTGTCTGTTGCCATCAGTGCTGACTCTCTCTCTCTCTTTTTTGTGTGTGTGTTCGTGTGTGTGTTTGTGTGTATTTCTGGGCAGAAGAACTGCGTGGGGTTACACTGGTTGAGCTGATTAAGAGAGAAGGAAGCACTTTGGGTCTCACCATCTCGGGCGGCACAGATAAAGACGGTAAACCACGGGTCTCCAACCTGCGGCCAGGTGGACTTGCGGCGAGGTGAGGACTAGATCTGAAGTTAATGCAACCTTTCAGAAAATAACACAGACATGGGTAATAACATTTTCAGCCAATGACAGAATCACAAAGTGATCACCTGACTCAGAAAAACACCATGCCTAGCAAAATAGGTTAGGTTTCAGTTTGCTCTTGTAATTTAAGTGTGCTAATGCTCACTAATGTGACATGCTGTTGTGTTTGTTACAACTTGCGTTTTGACACATTTCAGAATGCAGACAACCCAAGTCTCCCGGAAGTTCCGGGAGTCTCCCGCACATTGATAGTGTAATGAACCTAGACTAGTGTTGTCAAATTGTCACAGTTAGAGTAATTCACTCTACACAAGTAAGCAGCACCACAGAGCTACAGAAAATAATCTTTATTTTATACAATTCAGGTAGTGACCAAACATTTCAGAGTGGTTCAGGCTCTTGAATTACCAAACACGTATGCAAGTCAGGGGCGAATAACACCACAAGAGATCATGCTCCACAGAAAACACCATCATCAATAAGCAATGCTATAGTACACACACGTCAATCCCGTAGGACACTGCACACGTTCAAAATGCACGTGAACTTCAAACCTAAGACGCCCTCCGACTACTACACAAAGATTTAGTTCATCATAACCCTCCCACCCCGTCATGAAATGATTACACTACCAGCTTTAAAACCAATCACACACTCACACTCACACTCACACACACACAATAATACTTCTAAAATTCAACACTTAACTCTCCCAGGATGTAAGACCCTCCCCGGGGTCTAGGCTTTGGCGCTGGTTGGCAAGGGGGAAAAGCAGACGCCAGTCCAGCGCTCAGAAGGTTTCCGAACTATAGCGGGAACGGAGCACCCCTTGCTGAGAAGCCGCGCACTGCCCACGCACTCCTATACCCAGCCTTATCTATCGGTTATCCCGCTAGACTATCTTCACCGCCGGCAGCCCTAATTAGCATGCGAACGGCACCCACCCCCCAACCTTGAGTGCAGTAGGCATTTGCAGCAACAGCCCGTTTCTCAGACACGCCGTCACTGTGCTCACCTCTCTCTTTAATCCCTCGGGTGACATTGAAATTTGCAATAATTACTGCTTCCTGGACCTTCCCATTCATCAGTGATCAGGTGAAAACACTCACTAAACTCAACCCACTCCTCCACTCCACCCACGCCACTCATAACAACACATTCATCCACCGTCACTTCATTACACTCCCCCCACCCATAGGGCAGACTCGTCCTCGAGTCGAATTCAAAACATTTCATAGTCCAGGGACCATACTGGTGCCCTCCTTGATCGTCCTTGGCGCACTTCTTTGGGTAGCAATGCACCTTGCTGGGCCTCCCCGGTCATTGCAGAATGGCTAGTCATGGATGTTTGCATCTCCCCAGTATATGAAGATTCTTGACCACCTTGGTTCTGTGTGTCCCGAGCTGGCCGGCCTCTTTGCCATTGTGATCCCATTAAGGCATCACCGCTTCCTGATACCTCGCTTGTGACTGGGGGTACTTCGGATCTGGCCCCTGGCACTACCACCTCCCTCTCTCGACCCTCTGCAGCAATTGAAGTCTGCAGCCCGGTCTCTTTAGGTGGAATGCCAGTTACCCGTGGCCTCTCTGCACCCTCTTGGTTGATTACCTCTGTTACAGAAGAAAGACATGGTTTCAGTCGGTTAAAGTGCACCACTATTTCTGTCCCCCCCTCAACTGGCACAAGTCTATATAAAACTTCAGTTATCCTCTCTGTGACTTTATAAGGCCCCTTAAACCTTCGTTGTAATTTTGGGCAAAGACCCTTTTTCCTAACCTTCCCCGAACCCACACCAATTCTCCTTCTGAGTAGTACTGGAAATGTGCTCTGAAGTCATATTCTCCCTTCTGCTTCACAGAGGCTCTTAACTGATGGCCCTTTACCGCCTCTACTACTGTGGACAATGTCTCCAGCAATCTAGACACATACTCTGAAACAGAAGAGAATCTTTCCCCACCACCTAGGTTAAGCATGACATCCACAGGAAGGATGATCTCTTTCCCGAAAACCACTTTGTAGGGTGTAAACCCAGTACTGGAGTGAACGCTGCTTCTATAGGCCATCATCACATAAGGCAACAGGATGTCCCAATTAGCTTGGTTCTCATCTACAAACAGAGACAACATGGAGGCCAATGTTCTGTTAAACCTTTCAACCATTCCATCAGATTGAGGATGATAGGGTGATGTCCTAGTCTTATGAATGTTCAGCAACTGGCACACTTCTTTAAATAACCTGGATTCAAAATTTCGGCCCTGATCTGTATGGATTATCCTAGGGGCTCCGAAGCGGCACACCCACTGTTCAACCAACAACTTGGCCACTGTCTCAGCTTCCTGATTAGGAAGAGGGAATGCCTCCGTCCATTTGGAAAAATAATCCCCAATAACTACAATATATTTGTTTCCTTTGGGGGTTTCGGGGAGAGGTCCCAAAATATCCAACGCCACCCGCTCATGTGGCCTCAATGCTACCACCGATTGGAGTGGGGCTCGCCACTGTTTCCCCCGGCTTTTCTAGACCCACAGTCCACACATTCACTGCACCATCGCTTCACATCCCCAAACCAGCCCAGCCAATAGAAACGGTCTTTCACTTTTGCTTGTAGTTTCTGTATTCCCAAGTGTCCACCCGTAACATCATTATGCAATTGTCTTAAGATTTCTGCCACCATCACAGTGGGAATAACCACCTGAACCTGGTTTGCAGCATCCGAATTTGATGGAGGAACCCTCACTAACCGGGAGCCCTGCATTTGTAATTGGGACCATACCTGTGCATACTTTTGTAGATCGTCCGGTGGTTGCAAACCAGTCCTTCCCTCTTTTTTTAAATCAATGATCTTTTTCAACTCTGCATCTTCCCACTGTGCCTGAACCAACTCATCCCCTTCCCACCCGGGAATTAAACTAGTCGGTACATTTTGTACTGCAGCTATTACTGGCCCGCCTCGTATCTGTGGGGCTGTGTCCAGGGGCCCTGGGATTGACAGATAAGCAGGCAGCCTAGAAAGGGCATCAGCATTAGCATGCCCTCGTCCAGGGCGGTGAACAATTTTATATTGGAAGCTTGCCAATTGCTCCACCCACCTGGCTAACTGTCCCTCTAAACCCTGGAAATTATGCAGCCACCTCAAGGAATTATGATCCGTTCTCAAAACAAATTCCTTACCCAACAGGTAATGTTTAAAATGTCTGATGAACGTGACCATACTTAACAACTCCTTCTTGGTGGCGGCATACTTTCTTTCCTGCTTAGTAAGGGCTCTGCTGGCATAAGCTATAACATGTTCACACCCCTCCTCTTCTTGTGACAACACAGCCCCAATACCTGCGTCACTTGCATCCGTATCTAAAATGAAGGTTTTGGAAGGATCAGGATATATAAGAACAGGTGCTGACATTAAACTTAGTTTGAGCTGTTCAAAGGCCGTATGACATGCCTCTGTCCATTTAAACCGCCTACCTTTTTCAGTGAGTTGGTGCAGGGGGCGAGCAATCTCAGCAAACCCCCTCACAAACCTCCGATAGTATGAAGCTAAACCCACAAAGCTCCTGACCTCTGTCTGATTTTTGGGCACCGGCCACTGACGCACAGCCTCCACTTTAGCAGGATCCGCTTTCACCCCCTTTGATGAAATGATATGCCCCAAATACTGCACCTGAGTGGCAAACAAGTTACACTTATTGGGCTTGACTTTAAGGTTAGCCTGTCGTAGTTTTATTAAAACTTCGTCTAGGCGGCCTAAATGCTCCTGAAATGTCCGTCCGAATACAATGATATCGTCCAAGTACACCAGACAGGTAGTCCACTGAAGATCTGCCAGCACCAGATCCATCAGTCGCTGAAATGTACTTGGACTATTGCAAAGACCAAAACTAAGGACATTAAATTCAAACAGACCTTGCCGAGTAATAAAAGCAGTCTTATGTTTATCCCTAGGATCCACCTCCACCTGCCAGTAACCACTGGCTAAATCAAGAGTGGAGAACCAGCAAGCTTTACTCAGACTGTCAAGGGCATCATCGATCCGTGGCAACGGATACGCGTCCTTCCGGGTTACATCGTTTAACTTACGATAATCTACACAAAAACGGAGGCCGCCATCACGCTTGCGTACCAAAACTACTGGAGCTGCCCATGGACTTTGAGAAGGCTGAATTATGTTATTTGCCAACATTTTCTTTACATGGTCAGACACCTCCTGTTGTAAATGGAGGGGAACACGACGGGGTGGCAACTTCACAGGCTTCGCATCCCCTGTATCGATCTGATGCAGTGTCAGGTGAGTTCTCCCCAAATCCCCCTCCCCCTCACTAAACACAGACATATTTCTTCGTAACAGCTCCCGAATATCTACTATGTCAGATGGAGTAAAATTCTTCTGATGCAACCCAAAATGAGCCATAAGCTTGTCAACAGACCAAGGCTCATTTGGGCCATCCTCATCCTCACCCGTCCCCAAATGTTCAGCCCTACAGCCCACCTCAATGTCAGTATGTAAAGTTCCCAGCCTCATACCACCCTTTAATGTAAGAACATCTTTAGTTACATTAATTACTCGTACAGGCAGCCTACACCTCTCCACTCTACAGACCACCCGAGCGATCATTACATCACATTGGTTTGATAATGTGTCTGATGGTTCCAACATACCCTCACAACCGGCCACCAAGGAATTCTCCACCTTTCCGGCAATGATTGCCTCACTACGTGGGGGGATTAAAGTGTCTTCCAAGACGAAGACAGTCTGGGGCTTATCCATATCTGCCGAAACAATCAGGGGAAACATTTTACCCATTATTCGACACTCCTTTTTCCCAAAATCCACAACGGCACCATATTTACTCAAAAAGTCAAAACCCAAAAGAATATCCTGGGAAGGCACATCAGCTACCAAAAACTCCACAATTAATGCCAATGTATCAAACTGGCAGACGGTTTGCCATTTTCCCAAAATCCCCATCAACCCTCCATTAGCTGCAGACACATCACCATGATGTCCAGACAGTTCTGTTCCCCCCTTAGTGATTTCAAGCCAGAGTTGTTTTGGTATGACTGATAATGTTGCCCCACTATCTACCAAAAGAAGGGAGTCTAACGCACCTATTTTGGCTCCAATGTATCCAGAGCCACCCTGGTTGCTTACAAAGGCCACATCTGTACCAATTCGCCGGGGGGCAGGCAGCGGGCCTACAGTGCCTGCCCCCTGTAGTTTCCCTGCAAATATGGGCAATCTCGTTTTATGTGTCTTGTACACCCACACTCCCAACAACCGCCCCCCACCCCTCTGGCTCGATCTACGGACCCTTGTGAACCACTGTTCCTGGGCTCTCGTGCCGGTTCCCTGGAAAATTGAGTGGGGGTAGGGTTTACCATAGACTGTTGAATGTTACTCACTGTCGTACGAAGAGATTTTACTTCCTGCCTTAATTCTTCCACCATTCCTAACATCACTTGCATTTGTTCATCACTTTTGGAGTTATTCTCCACCACTCCCCTTACTTTTGCATCAGACATCAGATGGGTTTGCTCCATATTCCTAAGAAGCTCTAATTCAGAAGCCAGATCAATTGCGTCTTCTAAGGTTTTAGGTTTTGCTCTACGCAGGCTGATACGGAAGTCACCAGTTGCAAAATGTGTAAGAAACTGATCTCTTGCCAACATATCACAAGTACAATTATCAGCTGTGGGGTAGGCTTTAGTGGCAAGACGCCTCAAGGCATTTCCGAATTCCCTTGCAGTCTCATTATGCATACGACGGCGGGCTGTAAATGTAGCCCTACTCCAGTCACTACTGTCACAGGGCTCAAAACATCTAGCCATAGCAGCTTTTAGCAACGCGTAATTTCCCTTAGCATCACTGGGCAAACCACTATAAATATCTCTTGCACGCCCAGAGAGTAGAAGAGACATAAATTTAAGTTTTAAGGGTTCATCCCAATTATTTACATCAGCAGCTAGATCAAATTGCTCTGACCAATCAGACCACTCCCTGCCTACACCCGTAAATGTCTCAGGCATAAACACTGGCCGTGCAGTAGCTCTTAAGGGTCCCACATCCCTTGCACGGTCCACCTCTTCGGGGCTAGCATTATCCTCCCCCTGTAACATTCTACAACTAAGTCTAGGTTTTATAGATTCCAAAAAAAAATTAAGCACACTCCCACCGCTGCCACCAGTGTAATGAACCTAGACTAGTGTTGTCAAATTGTCACAGTTAGAGTAATTCACTCTACACAAGTAAGCAGCACCACAGAGCTACAGAAAATAATCTTTATTTTATACAATTCAGGTAGTGACCAAACATTTCAGAGTGGTTCAGGCTCTTGAATTACCAAACACGTATGCAAGTCAGGGGCGAATAACACCACAAGAGATCATGCTCCACAGAAAACACCATCATCAATAAGCAATGCTATAGTACACACACGTCAATCCCGTAGGACACTGCACACGTTCAAAATGCACGTGAACTTCAAACCTAAGACGCCCTCCGACTACTACACAAAGATTTAGTTCATCATAACCCTCCCACCCCGTCATGAAATGATTACACTACCAGCTTTAAAACCAATCACACACTCACACTCACACTCACACACACACAATAATACTTCTAAAATTCAACACTTAACTCTCCCAGGATGTAAGACCCTCCCCCGGGGTCTAGGCTTTGGCGCTGGTTGGCAAGGGGGAAAAGCAGACGCCAGTCCAGCGCTCAGAAGGTTTCCGAACTATAGCGGGAACGGAGCACCCCTTGCTGAGAAGCCGCGCACTGCCCACGCACTCCTATACCCAGCCTTATCTATCGGTTATCCCGCTAGACTATCTTCACCGCCGGCAGCCCTAATTAGCATGCGAACGGCACCCACCCCCCAACCTTGAGTGCAGTAGGCATTTGCAGCAACAGCCCGTTTCTCAGACACGCCGTCACTGTGCTCACCTCTCTCTTTAATCCCTCGGGTGACATTGAAATTTGCAATAATTACTGCTTCCTGGACCTTCCCATTCATCAGTGATCAGGTGAAAACACTCACTAAACTCAACCCACTCCTCCACTCCACCCACGCCACTCATAACAACACATTCATCCACCGTCACTTCATTACAATAGCGTCTCCTCGATGCCCTTAAAATCTCCTGAGATATACCTCCCTGAAATGAATTCTTGCAGGTTGGGATGTCCGAGAATGCGGCAGTGTAATTTAAGTGTGAAACAACCTAAAATAGAATTTTGTTGCAATCTTCTTCTCTTTTTTTCTAATTGAATTTATCTAATATGTAGCTAAGAGAAACTGATCATGAAAGAAGCTAATTCATTCTGAAGCTCACCAATGTGGCAACATGTTGCGTCACAACATGCATTTTGATGCATTTCGGAATGTAACGATGCAACTTAAGTGTGTAGTTAATTAGTTAGTTACTTAATTTTATTTTCACATTGTTTGATTTTATGGACACAACTTTCAAAAGTCACACATATTCTCATAGCATACATATCCAATCTTATATTTTCTAGAGCAAACTGTAAGGCTAACGGTTAAGTCAGGATTAATTTATGTAGCTAACTACAATTTAAACATATCAACAGTTTAACCGAATTTAGCTAGTTTACAGCATGATTCAGTCTGATGTTCTGCCATACCCAGACAGCAAACTGACATTGAATCAACGTGGAAACGACGTCTCTCATGACATTGAAACAACGTTGATTTGCTCATCGAATTAACGTTGAACCAACGTCAGACGCGGCATTCTTCAAAGCTAAATGAAATCGAAAATTGGTTTGCTTTCATAACGTTGAAACAACGCGTTGATTTCAAGTTGATTTTCCGTTAGTTTTGAAAGAATGACGCATCTGACGTTGGTTCAACGTTAATTCGATGAGCAAAAAAATGTCAGATCAACGTTGTTTCAATGTCATATTTCCACGTTGATTCAATGTCAGTTTGCTATCTGGGTAGTTAACCTGAAAAAGAAAACTGGCCTTAGAAGCAGATAATCAATGCTGATGCTTGCTAATGTAGCAACCTGTAATTGTGTTGTTATACTTAACATTAGTGTTTAGCGTTAGCATTTTTGTCTTATTGTGGCAGTAAGCATCAACACTCAAATGTTTGATAGAATTACTTTCAAATTAGGCTATGAAACAGGATCTAGCTAAGTTAAACATAGCAGTAATTTAGCTAGCTTTATGTAACTTGCTCAGCCAGATTCAAACTATTGTTCTGCTAGTTGACCTGAAAAACAAAAAACTGACCTTAGAAGCAGCTAATCAATGCTAATGCTTGCTAATGAAGCAACATGTGGTGTTGTACTTAACATTAGTGTTTAGCGTTAGCATTTTTGTCTTATTGTGGCAGTAAGCATCAATGCTCAAATGTTCGATAGAATTACTTTCAAATTAGGCTATGAAACAGGATCTAGCAAAGTTAAACATAGCAGTAATTTAGCTAGCTTTATGTAACTTGCTCAGCAAGATTCAAACTGTTGTTCTGCCATATTTGACCTGAAAAAGAAAACTGGCCTTAGAAGTAGCTAATCAATGCTAATGCTTGCTAATGAAGCAACATGTGGTGTTATTATACTTAACATTAGTGTTTAGCGTTAGCATTTTTGTCTTATTTCGGCAATAAGCATCAATACTCAAATGTTCGATAGAATGGCTATGAAACAGGAAGCTAGCTATAAGTTAAAAATAGCAGTAATTTAGCTAGCTTTATGTAACTTGCTCAGCAAGATTCAAACTGTTGTTCTGCCATTACATTAGTTGACTAAAAAGAGAAAACTTACCAGAGAAGCAGCCAATTTCTACAATGTACTTGTGTTGCATTATGACTAACATTCGGACACATTTCGAAACACAGCAGTGCATAAATTGAGCGTGTAGCTAGAAGCCTTATTCACATACATGGGTAGATGTGATGCGATAAATTGGCAACACATTTCTTTTCCCTCATACTCACAAGTGATTTGACTCATTTCAGGGATGTGTCGGATGCTCGTGCTGCATGAGGATGTTATGGAGCATGTCTGGGCTGATGACACATTTTTGTCAGGCATCATTGGGCACACTCATGTACGCCCAGAGGACAAAGGGAATGAATAGCATTCATTTGTCTAATTAGCATCTAAATGAGAATATTTATACTCCCTGTGGAGTGTTCAACAACAGATAAGGAGTTCTTACTTTGCATTTACTTTCCATTCAAAATTAATTTTCTATGTTTTTGTGACCATTGACGGAAAGCTTCTCTAGACCGTCAGACGTAGTCTTGTTAATTTCTCTGCATTGACTGTTCAATGCTAACAAAGCTAATTAAGGCAAATGTTTGAAAAGCCAACTTTTACGGTGTTAAACAAAATATGGTGTGTCAAAATGTTTGCAGGTATTAGTTAAACTGTTAATTAATTAAAAAATATTCAGTAATTACAATACAAAACTGTGATGTTTGCTAAGGCAAGTCTTACTATTGCTAATATTACAATTAGGGATTTCAACAAACCCATAATCCTCCTAAGTACTATTCTGTGATTATCTGATGTGTCTCAGGAGTGATCAACTCAATGTGGGAGACTACATCAAGTCAGTCAATGGCATCAACCTGACCAAGCTGCGTCACGACGAGATCATCAGTCTGCTAAAGAACGTAGGCGAGCGCGTTGTGCTGGAAGTGGAGTATGAACTGCCTTCAGCTGGTAGGAAGTTGAGTATTCTGACTTTTGCCTGTGTTGTGGCATGTCCCCAATTTAACCCTGGTCTGAACCAATCCCAGACCTCATAAATATCATCTAGAAAATGTTTGTTTTGCGTTAGTATGTAGCCAAATTGGATGTGAACTTCAGGTTGTGTGATATAATTATACATAGTAATGCAGACTGCATGGCCGCATGTTGAAAGCATTTTTTGATGTTGATGAAAATATTCTCTCATATGAACTTATCATGCAGAGACATCTTTAAGTAT